ATTGATTATTTGTTTATAGGGTGCTAAAAGATGTATTTGATTTGTTGCATTTTATTTTTGGCTTGAAATTGTGCTGATGTCTTCTGGTTTGTGTTCAATTTCACTAATTCAAATATGAAATCGCTTTAATTTTGACGGCATTATCGAATTCGGACCGATTCTTTGTCTGTGAATGAAGCTTGGAAATTGGAATGGATGGCCCTGGTTGTGTTAATTGTTTTGTTCAGTTTTCTTGAGATTATTTTAATTATAATTTTAATAATTCTGTTTCTTGGGTTATATGATAGGCTTTTTAGTAAAATAGTCTTTGAGATTGGCATAACTCATCGCTTTGTTCATTAACAATGAAAATCAATAGAAGTGGTTTTTGAATTTGTACACCGTAAATCATTTTGGTCATTCTGTGAAAAATTTGTCAATGTTCTCATTAAATGGAGGGGTTGGTTTGACAAAAAATACCTTTTAAAAAGTGATCACGTAGTCGTCTAAGTGACAATTTAACGAGAATATTGATAGATTTTTCACGGAAAAACCAAAATGATTTACGATGGACAAACTCAAGAACCACGTTTATCGATTTTCATTGTCAGGGACAAAAACGAGGAGTTATGGGATCATTTTGAATAAAAACCTTATATGATATGTTCATATTTGAATCAAACGGGATAATTGATTTAGTTAATTGGCTTTTTAGCCAAAATGGTCCTTGAGATTTTCATAACACATAACTTTGGTCCCTAAGATTGTTCACCATCCATTATTTTGGTCCTTCCATTAAAAAAACTTCGTTAAGTGGTCTTGAGCTTTTTAATGGAAGGACCAAAATGATGGATGGTTGACAATCTCAATGACCAAAGTTATGTGTTATGCAAATCTCAAATACCAAAATTATGTGTTATGCAAATCTCAGGGATCGAAGTTATGTGTTATACCCTCAACTTAATGGAGTTTTTTAACGGAATGACCAAAATAATGGATGGTGGACAATCTCAGGGACCACTTCTATTGATTTTAAATCTCAAGGACCAAAGTTATGTATTATGCAAATCTCAAGGAGCATTTTGACTAAAAAGCCTAGTTAATTTCCCGTAAAGTGATCTTTAGTGATTGTTAGATGAAAAGAACGAGCATTTCAAAGTGTGAACTCAATCGGAGGTTGATTTGTAACAATTATTAATTCATGTTTGTTGAATGTGCAGTGTTCTAGTAGAATAACTGATGGGTGGGAAGAGTTCAAAACGTTCAACTTCGAGACATCCTTCTTTTGGGACCGCATCACGTTCTTGGAGTCATCAGAGTTATCAAGAGGCACCATATGCACAGCCACCATTGATACCATCATATGCACCGCCAAGCCAAGACTACCGGCCACAGCAGTATTATGCACCTCCACCTCAAAGCCATGGCAGTGCTTGGCCAACAGGGTCAAATACGGGGTCGGGTACAAAGTTTGGGAGAATAAATGATGATTACAATAGCCTGGACCAGGTAAAATGCAAGATTTTATAGTAATTGAACTGATACAATTGCCGAACATTTCTTGAAAAGAAGTGCAGCCAATTTCTCTTGTCGTGGAGAACTTTCTTTTAGTCACAATGTACTCAATGGTTATACTGATGGCATCTCTCTTTGAAGCAAATATGATGTGAAATCATTGTAACTGCTTATGTTACTTGAGTGATTATCATGACATTCTCACTTTTGTCTTTCGATAGGTCACAGATGCATTGGCGCGTGCTGGTCTTGAGTCATCCAATCTTATTGTTGGCATTGATTTCACAAAAAGCAACGAGTGGACAGGTTTTCCCTGGTCTCCGTGCTTAGAAGTCTTTTCTTAAGTTATAGTGAAACATTCTTGACTTACTTTTCTATCAGGTGCAAGGTCATTTCATCGGAAAAGCTTGCATCACATTGGAGAAGAGCAAAATCCCTATGAACAGGGAATAGCAATTATAGGGAAAACATTGTCTTCCTTTGATGAAGATAACTTGATTCCCTGTTTCGGATTTGGAGATGGTATTTCATCTAACAGTTGTCTTACTCTTCAGATTTAGCTTGTCAAGCTTTTGGCAATAGAGATTTTACATGATTTTTGTATATTTGCAGCATCTACCCATGACCAAGAAGTTTTCAGTTTCTACCCGGATGAGGGATCTTATTGCAATGGTTTTGAAGAAGTATTGAGACGATATAGAGAATTAGTCCCTCAGCTACGACTTGCCGGTTGCAATTTGTTTCACTTCCTTTTCCCTTTTATTTTCCTGGTTGTTTATTCGCTTATGGAGATTCATACCCTTTTTTCTTGTGGCAGGGCCCACATCCTTTGCCCCTATTATTGAAATGGGCATCACTATTGTTGAGCAAAGTGGCGGTCAGTACCATGTGTTGGTGATAATAGCTGATGGGCAGGTATATTGCTTCTCGTCTCTATCTTATAGTTATACCGGTGTGAAAAATTCTGATCGAGCAGAAGTGATTTGCATAGCAATATGATTGTGCACTCAACTATTTTGTATAATGGAGACTACAAATTGTCACAGGTGACCAGAAGTGTTGATACCGGGCGTGGCCAGTTAAGCCCGCAGGAAAGGAAAACTGTTGAAGCAATTGTTAAAGCGAGGTAAATCTTAGAATGTTTGTTTCCTCGGTCTTATTCTTTTCACCAATAGATTTCATGATTTTCCTGTTATATTGTAGCGAGTATCCCTTATCAATTATACTAGTTGGAGTTGGAGATGGACCATGGGATATGATGAAAGAATTTGATGACAACATCCCTGCTCGGACCTTCGATAACTTTCAGGCAAGTATTTTTAGGGATAGAGGGTATCATCTTGATAGAGTATGTATGCCTTATTATCTATTATCTCTTCAAACTTTAATTGAAAGGTGCTGTTTTCTTTTGTCCTCTGTAGTTTGTGAATTTTACGGAAATTATGGCAAAGAATATGGACCGTTCGAGAAAAGAAGCAGAATTTGCTCTTGCAGCACTGATGGAAATACCTTCCCAGTATAAAGCAACACTAGAACTTAATATATTAGGGTAATAATCTAACTTAAGTCTAATGGGCTTTGAGGATTTGCTATTGCAGCTTTGGGTGACATAAGTTCATTTGCAAATCATCGTTTCGTTTCATTGCTTATACAGCGCCACAAGAGGGAAGGCTATAGATAGGGTACCTCTGCCCCCACCTCATTATGGTTCGTCTTCTTTTAGCTCCCCAAAAACTTCACGATCAAGTAGTTTTCGTCCAAGTGCACCTTCTAGGCAACGTGATGAGTTTGTTAGCACAGCACATCCTGCCGGTTCAACTTCTGACAATAATGTAATTGCCCTCTTTCTACTTCTTTTTATGAAGAGGCTTAATATGTTATGGCATGGACAGCAAAATCTCGTTAGTATGACAAGTTCAGACATATTTTTGTGATTCTTGCAGGTCTGTCCCATTTGCCTAACCGATCCGAAGAATATGGCATTTGGTTGTGGACATCAGGTAATGATTTATTCGTCTTTTACACCTTATGGAATTGGATGATAAAGTTTGAACAACGAATAACTGAGTTGGATATTAATATTGTTTGCAGACATGCTGTGACTGTGGACAAGATCTTGACTTATGTCCCATATGCAGAACCAGCATAATCACCCGAATAAAGCTCTATTAGATGTTGACATGAAATTTGGACCGCTGCAACTTCAACTCCAAGTTCATTTCCATTCCTTGCAATGTCTTCCATCAAGAGGAACTGAGTCCCTTGTACATATCTTCCCTTTTGCTGGATGAAGGATGTCGACATTTGGAGATATTGGTCGGACTTGGACACCCACAGCTAGAATTGCTCCTATGGCGACTTCTGTGTTTGAATTTTTGTTTCATGTCATTGTTTTCGCGTCTACTTATTACCACTTTTGTCCAATTAAATTCAACATATAACTGGTTGTATGCCTCATATATGTACACAAGACATATTTTGTAATCAGTAAGCTTCTCCTTATCAGCTATGGCATGTCGTTTCGAGACCAACTGATGAATCGGCGTCATGTCGTTTCTATGTCCAACACAAACATAAAAATGACATGTCGTGCACCTACTGACGCTGGAATTTGGTACTTAAATTTCAATTTTTCTTGCTGGAGTTGCTGTAAATTAAAAAAAAAAAAACAATTACCTACATTTTGCCCAAGTTTGTGGTATCACCCAAAGGCTCACTCTTCATAAGCAATAAACATGGAGAATTCATAGGATAAGATGACTTATTTTCTGGGAAGACAAATACTTTCATGAGAAACTTTTGAGTGTGGTTGTCACTCTAGTTATGGTGTTTTTAATTCACGTGTTATGATATGAATAGATGAAAATGTTGGTGTTTTCCAACTTAAGTTATAACTGAGATCAATGAGTCCTCATAGCAACACATGATGTTACTAATTCACATGTTATGATATGACGGAACGTTAGGATTGATACTTTTCCAACCCAGTTTTAACTTATATCAATAATGAATAAAATATGTGTTTATAGCCCATGTGAAATCGTAACACCAAGTGTGATAGTCACACGAAAAACTCTTGATCGCATGGAGATCAAATTTTTTGCACTCACAACCCTCTGTGGTCTCTGTGATTTGTCTCGTTGACACATGGTCATTTATTTAAACTCCACTTAGCAATATTAACTCTTCAATTTATCTTCTCAATTAAAAAATTAAAAACTAAAGATAAATTAAGTCAAAATGACAAATTTCACTCAAATAAATAAATCATAGAAAGGTCACAAAGAATTTTAAGTGCATAAGATTTGAAGTCGAACGCATGAAGAACGAATAAGTTGTACATTACATAACCAAACGCCCCATATAAAGCTCCAAAACTTTCACATAAAGAATATGTTTCAAAAAAATTCTGCTACTCTTTGGGGGAGTGAGCAGACTAAATTTTAGCCAACTAGCCTATATATTTAAGACTGCACTCTTTCACATCAATCAAACGCAAAGAAACACTCATACTCTCTCATGGCGCACCACAATCACTTCCCTTTTGTGATAAAATCCATGATCACTGCTTTGTTCTTCATACTGCATTGTATCATGTTTAGCGGTACGGTTGCAGGAAGCCGGAAAGGGCAATGGCAACAGCTACTAAACAACACCGGTGTGGTGGCCATGCATATGGCATTGACACACCACAACACTGTCATCATGTTTGATCAAACAGAAGCAGGCCCTTCGGGGTACAGGCTTCGAACGCGCCACAACGGAAACAGATGCACAGATAACCGTGATGACGTAGCAGACTCGTCGTGCTATGCTCACTCCGTGGAGTACGACATTTCTAGCAACAAAGTTAGGCCTCTGAGGCTGTACACTGATACCTGGTGCTCCTCGGGGTCTTTCTTGAGCAACGGGACACTTCTGCAGACAGGCGGATATGGGAGTGGCACGCGAAGAATTCGATACTATAGACCTTGTGGTAATGGAAAATGTAATTGGAGGCAGTCAGAAAGATCGTTATCTAAGGATCGTTGGTACGCTTCAAATCAATTGCTCCCGGAACATGATAGGGTTATTGTGGTTGGTGGAAGAAGGACATTTACGTACGAATTTGTTCCAAAAATGTCATCCAATGAAGGCTCTCATGAGCTTTCGTTCTTGCACCAAACTTATGACCCAAACGAAGGAGGGAACAACCTCTATCCCTTCCTTCACCTTTCATCAGATGGAAATTTGTTCATCTTTGCCAACCGAAACTCCATTCTTTTCGATTACGAACGCAACAGGGTGATCAAGACCTTCCCACGCATTCCCGGTGATGGCTCAAGGAACTATCCAGGCTCCGGCTCATCAGTGATCCTCCCTCTAGACCATGCAAACAGGTTCGAAAAAGTGGAAGTCATGGTGTGTGGCGGCGCTGCCTCAGGAGCCTACAGAGCAACAAGACAAAACAGGTTCTTGAAAGGCCTGAGCTCTTGTGGAAGAATGGTGATCACAGGGAACAGACACAAGTGGAACATGGAGAACATGCCAGGCCCTCGCCTTCTCAACGACATGCTCATCCTCCCAACCGGAAATGTCCTAATCATCAACGGTGCCAAGCGTGGCTCGGGTGGATGGAACAATGCAAGAAATGCTTCACTCCGGCCTTACCTCTACAAACCAAATAAAAAACTAGGCAAAAGGTTCTCGGTCCTCAAGTCCACGAAAATTGCAAGAATGTATCACTCCTCAGCCGTTCTTTTGCCCGATGGGCGGGTTTTAGTTGGTGGTGGAAACCCTCATGACAGGTACACTTTCAGCAATGTGGCCTACCCAACAGAGCTTAGGCTCCAAGCATTTGTCCCACACTACATGAGAAGGAAATACCATACACATAGACCTACTAATGTGACCATACAATATGGTCAAAATAATTACAATGGTGTGAGGTATGGGGAAGAATTTAATGTGACGTTTCTCTTGGAGAGGAAACCAAGCGATGTAGTGGAGTTTACCGCTTACTCGCCGCCTTTCACGACGCACTCCATATCCATGAACCAGAGGCTGCTCAAGCTGAGGTGCAAGAGTCTGGTTAGGGCGCAGGGTGGTTTGGTACATGCAGTTGTGGAGGCTCCTCCATCTGCTAATGTTGCACCCTCTGGCTATTACATGCTTACTGTTGTGAATGGTGGGACTCCTAGCATGTCTGAGTGGGTTAGGTTCATGCATCATTGAGGTCCTCTGTTGATTTTAGTACTGCTACTATATATATATATGATCCCCAAAAATGTTAGATGGGGATGAGAATAATTCATGTTTGCAAAAGAAAGAAGCCATTTTAATGTTTTCTCATGATTATAACCAAAGGGTTTTCTATTTTTTTTTCCTTTATCTATTTGTTTATTTTAATTCTGTTAAAATTTTAAAAACCTGTTTAAAAGTGCTTAAAATAATTAAAATTGCTTTCAAAATTATTTTTTATTATATTTGACAAAAAAAAAACGTGTTTTCAAGAAACACTTGCATTTTTATTAAAAAATTTAATATATTTTTAAAAGCACTTATGGGCAAAAGTTTTTTTTTTTAAGTATTTTTGAACCAGGCCCATATACATATTAAACCTGCGCACTTATGCTTATAGAAGATAACTAGTAAATTTTACCCTTACACGTAATTGCGCGAGTAAGAATATAATTATAGATTATGTTTTTAACATATAAATATGCAAAGAGTTATAAATACCAAACACAAAATGGAAAAAATATTTTTATAAAGCTGTCTAAGTTTATATAATTTACAGAAAATACATTATCAAATGTCTTATCATCAGTATACAAAAAATGGTAACCTAGTATTCGCCCTTGACAGTTAGTGCTTCATTTGCATGACTACTTGAACAAAAAATACTGTAAAAGAGCACATTGTTTACATACACAAAAAGAATGGGGAATTGAAGTGAGGATCTACTATTTACACACACAAATTATCAACTTATACTGTTTGTTTTGGATTACAGATGCCAACATTCTTTAAGACATGAGCAAAAGTTTTTACTTGAAGCAGTCACTGCAGAAAAAGAACATTATAGCAGAAGAGTAAGATGAACAAACATCAAGGCTTTTATTTGGCATGAACTCGTATAAAAGCAGCTTTTCCTCTCCCTCAAAGCTGCACGCAAAGAGCCGCACCAGGTTTTTGTGTTGGAAGTCTTGCAACGGTTACCACCTCATTTTTGAACTCCTCTAAGCCTTGCCATGACTAATCTACACCTACTTTCGTATTGATTTTGTTGTATTGATTCACCAAATGTATGTCTAACCTTTCTTAGCATTTTCAGTTGTTTTAGTGCAATGATGTGCGCATGAATTAATACAACATAAACTTACATAGTTTGTGAGTGAATCACCTAGAAACTAAGGTATGTGTAGGCATTTATTCACGGAATCAACTAAGGTATGTGTAGGCCTTTATTCACGACGGGTTAAGTAGTTTTGGAATTCTCTTTCGCTTCACATGGAAACCTGCTTTACCGTCTCTAGGCTACTAATAAGTGTGCTCAACGTTCAAATGGTTCTTTGACACGCTACTTAGCTTTTCTGATTATTTAGTTAATTAAGTCCATGATGACAATACTATAATTTCAAAATTGATAGCAAACAACCATTCCTTCAAATGAAAGTAGTTGATGTTAAATTGCAGCAGGGAAAGCAATTAATCTAATAGTGTTCTTATTGTTGTAAAATCGACTGTGTGTGCAGTGGAATAAATAAGCAAGACACAAAATTTACGAGGTTCCTCTACAGTCAGTGTGACTGGAGTACGTCCTCGGGGCAGCAGTGGTGCTTCCATTATAATTTAGAATAATAGGAGTACAAAGATAACTCTCTCTATTATCTCCTCTCATCTTCCTCTATTCTCTCTCTTCCTCTTCCTTCTCTCTCTTCCTCTACCTTCCTTCCTCTCTTTCTTTCCCGTGAACTCTTCACATCTATCTTTGTTGTGTTTCATAAGGCTTGCTTATATAGAAGCAAGTCACAAGCAGCATAGTAAAAGAAAATGAATGGGTTATTGGCCAGCCATCCATTCACCTTTACAACACTCCCCCTTGGATGGCCACAAGTCTTCTATTGACTCGTTAAAATCTTGATCTGTTTTGAATGCTCCCCCTGATGAGTATCTCCCCCTGATTTCAAATCATTTAGGTTGATCGTTGATCGTTCTGCTTTAGTCTCTTAGTAAGAAGGGTTGCTGAAAGAGTTGATTTACTTGTTGTTAACTTTCCACAGGCTTTTTCTTGAACTGGGTTGTAGGACTTTCTGCTAGACTTGCATCCAAATGTCTGAATTTACTCCTTTGATCTGAAGCAGATTTGATTCAAGTGTGGTGGACACTTGATCTTGAATCGGACTTGTAATTTCTTTAAGGACCTTCGAAGCTTGATCTTGAATGAAATTGGACCATGAGGAGCTGCACGTGACAAGTGATCTTCGGCTTAGTTTGGGGATGAATCAGCATATGTTCATTGCACTTGTCTCCACATGCTTCAATGCATCATTTTCACTTTCCTTACTTGCTCCTTTTGCTTAAGTAGTATTTTCACTGTTTTTCCCCCATGCATATGTGGCATCTTCTCTTGTAGGATTTGTCCCCTGGTGCAGAAGTGGAATGCAAACCCTTGCATTTGGATGGCTCATCACTTCTTGGTGACTGAAGACCCAGCTCCAACCGTTGAAGATGACTACTCGAGAGCAATACTAGGTAAGCAATCAGGAAAGGTTCCAGGCAGTCGGTTCCTTACCTGGAGTTTGAGTGGAGGTTCCGACATACTGCTTTCTTTATCCTTGTCTTTGCAGGTAAGAACAAGGACAAAGGAAAGGACAGGGAGATTGCATGATATGAGATAATCTTGCTCTGGTCCCTGAAGATATGTGATAATCTTGCTCTGGTGTGACATGTTTGAAGAGGTATTCTCGGAGAGGAAGAAAATTGAGTATTTCGAGATGCTATGTTGAAGATGCATTCTCGGAGATGAGGAAGAGTTAGGTATTCTTGCAGTGTTGCAGGTCTGCCTTGTTATGGAGAACAGAGGTCGACATATATAGAGATTTCTCAATAGCAAGTGGTGGTGCTGTGCTTTTACTCTTGTCAGCAACTGTGGTGTAAATAGAACAGTAAGATTTACGTGTTTTCAACTTTGTCAGAGATCTTTGACAAAATTGCACGCGCGACATCTGAAAAGCTGGGATTACGTCTGAAAAATGCCAACGAACTTTATTCAGGAAAATCTGGCTTTTTGAAATTCGGAGAGCCGTGTCGCTTCGATCTTTGAACAAGCGGCTCTGTTGCCTCTTCTTTTATAGAGACATCAATTGCGTTCAAGAGTATGCTCAGAAAGTTGCTGCCTGAGAAATTTCCACCTTCTTGCACTTCTGAAATTTTATTTGACCTCTGTTTTTCCTTCATCATTTCTGAAAAATGACTTGCCCATCTAACATTTGCTTAGATTTGAGTCTTATGAGTGATACAGACGAGCAGCGTCAGGATAATATATGGCGCCCGTCCTTCTTATCTTCTAATGGTCCTCTTACGGTTGGGGACTCTGTGATGAAGAATAACATAACCGCTACTGTGGTAGCTAGGAATCTTCTCACTCCAAGGGATAACAAGATCCTTTCAGAACGGTCTGAAGAGTCGGCCATTCAAGACTCCTTGGCTCTCAGTGTTCAGTGTGCTGGCTCTGTGTCCAATATGGGCCAACGCCTACTTGCTCAAACTCGCCAAGTTGAATCATTGATGGCGGAGGTGGCAAGTCTTAAACAAGAGATCAGAGGGCTCAAGCACGAGAATAGGGTGTTACATGTGCTTGCAAATAGTTACTCTACGAGCATGAAAAGAAAGCTCGTCCAACTGCAGGAATCCGAAAGTCGGATTCAAAGTGATCACCAGAGGTTCGTTGCTAGATTCCGAAAGCAACTGATGCCTTCCCCTTCTGGTGTTTTGCTAAGTACTGGGGTGCCACATGATCAATCTCCAGTGCCTCCCCCTTCTGGGGTACTTCCGAGTACTGAGGCTTCACATGAGCAACCTTTGTGAAGGCTCCATCCTGTTTGTTTGTTTTAACTCATGTGTATGTATATATCTGTAATTTCTTGGAGATATTAATAAATAAGCTTTATTTCATTCAATGTATTGTGCCAAATACAATAAAGCATATACTTCACTAAGATGTGGTACTTCTGGACCAAATATTAATTTATCTTTACCCTCACGAAGATAAATGATTATTCTTAGTGTCTTCATCATATGAGTATTCAACTCATAATCTTCAATCCATATGATTCTTTTAATATCATAAATATCATGGATAAGATTCGTGTTGGTAGATTGTTCGATCTGCAGCTCGAGACAATAATTCCTTCAACACTTTATAATTTTTCTAGACTCTTCAGGAGTCCCCAATTTAATATCATCAACTCTTCAAGAGTTATAATTTAATGTCATTGACTCTTGCAAGAGATTTTAGTATGTTGCAGCAACAATATCATAATGATAGTACTCACTAAGGCAATTTATATCATCCATTGGTATTGAGTACATATTTTATGTTTTACCCTTCAGAGGCTTACTTCAAGCAATTTGAATCCTTCAAGGGTTTTCTACACTTCATGACACATTTTCCTTTGGAATTTATACAGAGCAATTTGCTCCCATGTATACTTGAGGGATTTACTTATGGAGATATAATGTGGGCGACTCACAACCCTTCGTATATAATTCTCCATTCATATGAACTCGTTTACAACCTTGTGTCATATCATGTAAGTGTATTACACTATATTACAAATGCCCATATATAACCTCCTTGGTTTAACATCATTTGGCTATTTGTATTGTATTCAAATATATATAGGTTCATTTGCCCACGTTCTTACAAAATTTGTAATGGAATTGCCTTTCTCCATTTTTGGCCAATAATTTTTCTTTTGTCGACGAACAAAAGAACGTGACTTAATATTAACACAGCTTATTGATGAATTTAGTAGCTACTTGTAAAAACCAAAATTACCATTGGTTATCATCAATCCGTGATCCCATATTCTCATGTGCATGCGCATGCATAAAAGCTTTTCATTTCTTTGGATATCCATTGCCTCTTCAAGGGCATTACACTATCTCTTCCAGGATAGTCATAGTTTAGAGAATGCGGATCATAACCTCTTCTTGAGCGTTATAGAGCTTGGATTTTAATCTCCACTTCCAAGAGTTAAGTCATTTAGAACCTATACGTCAATCATGCTTCATGCATGAGACATCAATATTCCCATGTCTGTGGATTGTCATATCTGGGACGTGTATCCATACGGCGACTGTCATGCTTCTGGCATGCAACAGTTATGCTTCGGGAATGCAATAGTTCAGTAGTGCCATATTATTCTTCTTTTATTCGAATGACTGAACCTTTTGAGTCTAAGGGTTTGCCACGTTTCAGGCGTGCAACAGATAAATCATTTACTGTCTCATTATTTTTATCCAACAGAGACATCAATTCTTGTAGGCACATTTGCAGTAAGTATATATGATTTCATCACTTTCGTTGCATCATTCAATTATTCATATTTCATTTTCTCATTGATTGCTTCGTGAATCAAAATAAGACAAATTCTCTTCGTTCTTCTGGAACGGTCTTTTTCTCATTATTCTTTTGGAATGATATTTTCTCATCGTTCTTCTGGAACGATATTATTTTCTCCCCCTAATGGCAGGAAAATTGTCTTATCAAAATGACAGTCCGCAAACCATGCGGTAAACATATCCCCAATCAAGAATTTCAAATATTGAATGATAGATGGTGTTCAACATCAATGCCTAATCTGCAATGATGCCTCATTTCAGTACGTTGTGGCAGTCTTACAGGCACATAGACAACACAACCAAAAAACTCGTAAATGTATAATGTTTGGTTGGTTCCAAACCCGAGTTGTACTGAGAAGTATTGATGGTCGGTAACATGTCTCAACCGAATTAATAATGCATCATGTAAAGTTTACATGTCCTCATGTAGAAAATTGGCAATTTCGTTTTCATGAGCAGAGCGCGGGAAATCAATTTCATTCGCTTAATAAAGGCTTCTGCTAAACCATTTTGAGTATGGACATAAGGAACTTCTGGTCCTTATTTAATAGTCTGTAAACTAAGACTCTTATGGCTTTTATTACAATTAAGTTAAGGCACTGCGGCACTTCAAACTTACGGTACTCATCTAGGAACTTCATGTCATGATCTTCAGGATCAAGGGACTTCATGCCAGATCCTTTTGTATGATGGAACTTCGGGTCCAATCATTTTTATATGATGAGGATCAAGAAACTGCAGGTTCTGATCTGATCAAGGAACTTCAGGTCCTGTATATACTCATAGTAACAAAAGATAAGTACAATAAATAAATTAAAGCACTAGGCGGTAATTCCAACCATAGTAAATAAATTGCATTTAAGTAAATAAAGCTTGTGACAAGGGCTTTAATTCAGCACCATTCACATAAATCAAAACTTAAAGCAGTAGGCGGTAAAACCGTCCATGGTAAATAAATTGCTTTAAAGTAAATAAAGCTTGTGACATGGGCTTTAAACCAACACCATGCACATAAATATCAAAGCTTTAAAGCAAAGGGTAATAATGCTACCCACTGTAAATAAATTGCTTTAAATAAATAGAGCTTGTGAAAGTGTTTTAAGCCAACACCATTCACATAAATAAATATATATTTTCGTTTCTTATTCATTCACATGGTGCCGTGTACCATCCAATAATATTTGTTCTTTTCTCCTTTTGTGACAACATCATGCACCAAAAATCCACATTTCCAATTTTTTTTATTTATTTTTTTATTTTATTTTTTCAGAATGGTGCAACTCACTTCCAAAACCTTTTTGTTTTCTTTAAATAGTCCAACCGACACACCATCCATTTGCTCCCTTTTTCAATTTATATATGTATATTTTTCTTTCTTTCCAACTACCCAAAATAATCACACTTTTCTTTGTCTGCCACTTATAAGAAGATCAAACCGTTAGATTTAACTCAAAATTTAGTATGATATGGATAAGAAGATACCAAACAACTTTCGTGAAGAAACAGTTTCGAGCTGAGCTTCTGAAAATGAAGGTTTGGTACTCATAAGATGGCTGTCCAGTTTTCTGCGGAAATGGAAGCTGAGTTGAAGTTTCAGTCATCTACGACGATCTCACCGTTGACAATTTCTGAAAATTTGGATATGTTCTAGGTACTAGGCGGACAAACAACTTTCAAGAAGAAAGTATTTCAATCGGATGTCAGGAAGTTGGAGTTCAGTGGCTATTTACATGGCTGCCAAATTTTCTGCGGATTTTGAGTCTGTAGTATTATTTCTAAGATATGGAATGATTTAACCGTTGGATGGTTCTGGAATTTTGGTATGTTATGGGAGAGAGGATAAGGAACAACTTTTATGAAGGAATGGTTTCTGTATGAGCACTGGAAGTTGAAGTTTCAAAGCTCATATGATCGTCGGATTTTCTGCCAATAATAATGACAATACTTATATAACCACATGTATATTTACTTTAAGAAAATTAGTCATTTAGAGATATGAGAATGAAATGAAAAGATTTTCTTATCTGGGAGATTCCAGCCGATAGATGTGAGAGGTAAGTAGTGCTTTCCACCGACATGAGAGCTTCTCGTGCTGATAACGTGTTGTAAAATCGACTGTGTGTGCAGTGGAATAAATAAGCAAGACACAAAATTTACGAGGTTCCTCTACAGTCAGTGTGACTGGAGTACGTCCTCGGGGCAGCAGTGGTGCTTCCATTATAATTTAGAATAATAGGAGTACAAAGATAACTCTCTCTATTATCTCCTCTCATCTTCCTCTATTCTCTCTCTTCCTCTTCCTTCTCTCTCTTCCTCTACCTTCCTTCCTCTCTTTCTTTCCCGTGAACTCTTCACATCTATCTTTGTTGTGTTTCATAAGGCTTGCTTATATAGAAGCAAGTCACAAGCAGCATAGTAAAAGAAAATGAATGGGTTATTGGCCAGCCATCCATTCACCTTTACAACACTTATTTGGTTATAAACAAAAACATCATCATCACCACTTTTAACAACACACAGTCCATATTAACAAAAGTATCACCATCACCACTTTAATAACAGTACTTGATATAGTATATATATATAAGACTTATAATGCGTGATATATTAACAAATACCATAGTACAGTTTCTAAACAGAAACAAAACCAACCAGCCAAAAAAAATTCAATTCAAGTGAACGCTAAAACATAGGATATAACACTCAGAACAATTGATAAAAGGAAAAAGTAAAAAAACTTTATACCTGACAAAAAGAAGCATGAACTCCAGCCACAAATCCTTAAGACAGAACCTGTTTCCAATAAAATAAAATAAAAATAAAAATGCATGCTCCAACGAAAGAACATCATAGACAGCAAAACACACTACTAGAAATTTGACTTTTACTGACAAAAGTACTTTGTCGGAAATCAAAATTTGTTGGCAAAGAGTCTTCCCCAACGAAAAATTTTGTCAGCCATTTCGTCACGCAAAGCATGTCGGATAAGAGTTTCCCGAAATTTTTTTGTGTTTCGTCGGCTAAGGTTCAATTTTTCTCAATAAAACTATTTTTTGTCGGCATTTACATCTTTCCCAACAAATATTTCATCGGTACATAGCTTTTATGCCGGCAAATAATACTTTTTAGCCAACAAATTATGTTCATCATCATGGAAATTTTGTCAGCACAGTCTTCTCTCCTGACAAAATTAGTATCGTCGGGAAAGACATTTAATTTATATAAAAAAAATAACTCTTTAATGCTCAACTATTATATATGCAAATCCAAATACAATACAAAAAAATTGTTAAGAAATAATACTTTATTGATTGATAAATTTGAAATGTACATCTAGAATGCTCATACAAAAGCATGTCACACAATAAAATTATCCTACTGCCATTCCTTAAGTCGGCTGCCATGTAGCATTATGCAAGAGCTTGTGTCATGAGGAAAGGGGCATTCCCAGCTTCATTTCCACGCAAGAAAATGAGCATTCCCAGATTTATATCAAATGGCCTTCAAAAATCCATTAGCACCAAATATGCAGGACCTTGTGTCATGGGGCAAGAGGAGAAGAATTTAGTGGCTTACTGAAGACCATCAGTTGCGACCTCAAACCTTGTATGATATTGCACCATGGTAGAAAATGGGGAAAGGCTACAATAACACCATAGTATTACAATAAACAATGAAAACTTAACCAATTTGTCAACAAGAAAGCATGTAGTTATATCTAATACTTTCCCATTACAAAGGGCTCATCCCTTTCTAAGTTCATATTCCTCCAATCCCAATATACTTGAGACATTATATTGAATGTTAACTCATAAAGTCCTCCTTTACGATAGTCCAAATTGACATTATATTGAATGTTAACATTTAAAAGTTAAGTGCATGCCAAATTTGGGTACTGCAAAACTAGGAAAAGTATTGACCTGATCAACCCGTAGAACAGTGCAGGCAGCATCTGCAGCATAATTGAGAGCAAAGAACCTGTACCAAGCCGACTATTAGTTTATATGTCAACTTGAATGTTCTTTGCCTGCAAACTTTTCATTGGCATAGGTCTAAATGTTTCGAGCCGACGAATTAAATTTTAGGAAAACTAATGAAAAGGGCTTGAAAACTTTGAGTTTTAATGATAAGGACAAAATAAAGGGTAAAGTGAATAGTACCAGGATTGACTTTTTAGTGTAAAAATGTGGTTTTTCGTTAAAGTGAACAATACCGGGTGTTTTTCGTTAAAGTTCTCTTAAATTTTTTGTCGGGCAAAGACTCTTATGCAAACAAAATTTTACTTTATCGACTTTAAGTTTGTCGGCAAAATAATATTTTCTAATAGTGACAACATCACAATTGCAGAGGAAAAACAAAAACTCTAAAGCAAAACAAAACAAAATCGAAAGCAAAAAGCACAACAAAAATGAGGATCAAACATACAAACCCAGAATGAGGACCAAACTTACAAACCCAGATTTGCAAGCAGCAATACAGAAAAAGGAGAAAAAGTAGAAGTCCAAAGAAAAAAAAAGGAAATATGACGGTAAACGTGCAGGAAGAAAAGAGAAATAAAAGAGAATAGCTTACAAACCCAAATTTATGAGCAGCAATACAAAGAGGGGAGAAAACGCAGAAGTCAAAACCAAAAATCAAGATAAATGAGAGAGCAAACGTGAGGGAAAGAAAAAAAAAATTTAAAAGCCAAATGCAAGGATGATCAACACGTGGTCTGCCATGCCCAATATATATATATATATTTCTCCCACTTCGCATGCCCAAAAAAAAAAAAATATATATATATATATATATTTCTGCCACTTCGCATTTATTATCTCATTTTCAAGGAATGGGTATTCGTTACTATCAAGAAACAAAATGCCAATAATATCGGCGATACATCGCCGATATTATCGATTTTTCGCCGGACCGATATTTTAATAGGTATCCAAAGGGTTTTTGTCAAAATATCGCAATATTATCACGAAATTTCGGAACTGTGCAAGTCAGAGACGAACGCCAGAGCTTCTACAGCTCCGGCCGACTGTAAAACAGCCCCCTAGACTCCGATCTAGGTATGAAAATGAAGCCCAAGGGAAGAGGAAGAGATCTATACCATTTTCAAGGCATGCCGTGGTCGGAGCTCGATGGAGTTTCGCCTTGGAACCCACGGTCCACACCGGAAACTGGGTTTTGGTTTCCTCCAAACTTTTGCACCGGTTTCCATGTTGCTACCATCCTTGTCTGCACTAGCAGAGAGAGAAGAAGAATGAGGGAGATGAGGGAGTGCTAGTGTGTGTGTGTGTGAGTTCGGGGAAGAACCGAAGAAGGAATGAGAGTTGCATAGAGAGGGAGAGCATGGGAAAGTGGAGAGAAAGAGAGGACTGAGAGAGAAGAGAGATGAGAGCCTCGGGGACAAAAATAAGGGGGTGGACCCCTTGGGATCACTAATTAAGATCCAAAAACAATAATTTTTTTTAAAAATAAAAAATAAAAACCTAGAAAGTAAAATTATAAACTAAAGGGAGGGGTTTTACATTAAGGCTTATTCGAAGATGTCAAACTAGAATATACCAACTGATAGATTACTTTATGAAAAATTGGTAGAAGGAGACATAAAGATAAAGCCATCTAACTTGTAAGGCAACTTTCTTGACATAGTATTTTACGTAAATATATAATTTTGAACCTCATAGGAACTCTATGTGGTACTAAGTCACTCATGTATCTTACTATGCAATGTATAAAGTGTAAAATATTGTACTAATTCATTATATATAAATGATTATGGTGTGTTTATACTTCTTTCATTAATTACTACATATTTTCTACACTCACAATGTTTGTCAGCTCGCTATATAATTAACTTGATAATGTTAAATCCATCATGTAATGCATTTCCTTCCAATTTTTTGTGATAAACTAATAGATAATTGACTAAATAAACATCCTGCAAAGTTTCAATAAAAATTTTCAAGTTTTTCTTACAATTTCCGTGGTTTCCATGTAATTTTTATCGATATCGATATTATCCCGATATTTCCATCGATATTTTCGTGTTTTCAAACTACCGATATTTCTGATATTACCGATATTTAATACCTTGGTTACTATCACCAGCACCAGGCAACTGCAATGGCAATGGCATCTCCCTTTTCCACTGTCTCTCTCTCAAATGGAAGGGGATAGTCAACATGTGGCACAATGTAAATCAAAAGCAACCAAAATATGCTTTCAGCATCACCAATAATATATATATATATATATATATATATATATATATATATATATATATATAAATGTATGTATATATATATATATATAAATGTATGTATGTATGTATGTATATATATCTGCTACTTTTCATTATCTCTTTTTCAAGGAATGGGTCTTCGTATTTATTATCTCTGGGTGGCCTTTATCTTTTGGCTTTTTTTCAAGGGACACACACTCCTTTTTACTTCTCACACACCTGTCAAAGTTTCAGTCGTTGGATCGGATGAATTGAAGAAGATCAAACGGTAAAAATTAACAAGAGGTGTGTGAAAAGTAAAAAGGAGCACACCCCTTTTTCAAAGGCTTCGGATGTAGCAAAGAAGGGAGTGCGTGCGGATGAGAGACGCGAGGCCACGAAGGACAAAACGGACTTTTCACTGTAGCAAATTGTAAACAGTACGGGAGCCGAAGCAGAAACCAAGGGTATCTCTGCCCTTTCACTATTGGTAAACAGTGCTACCTCTCGCCTAATGAACAGTACATTTCTGCCGAGCTTTAGTAGATATAAATATTGACGTTGGTGCGTTCGCAAGTGGTTGGTTTCAACTTTCTGGGCCATGAAAGTCTATTTCATATAAATTAAGGGTGGGGACGGCTTAGGTTGAGCAGCCCTACGACATTACGTCTAGTTTCAAGCATATATCTTGATTCAAGATTGGGACGGCTCTTAAATTTTAGGGGTCATGTGTGGGAAGATAATAAACAGACCATTATACAAATATTTTTGCTACAAAACTAATTTATGTGTCTATAGTTGTATTAATAAAGGACATAAATGAAGAATTATTACTTGAGTTATAGTTTAAATCAACAAAAAATATAAAACAAATAAATGAAAACAAAATTTAGAGCAAAGCCGGCATAATCTTACTAAAAACATAAAAATGATTTCTCTTATGCATATGGAGGCAATATTTCTCTTACTCACATGTAAAATCTAGAAAATTTGTTGAAATTTTTTTGCCACAAACCAAGTTGGTACATATGTAAATGATACCATCTTTTAGGGGGCCTTTAAAATTGGAAGTCCTGTACAAGAGCACCTATTGCACATGCCCAAAACTGCCACTATTCCCAAATAACCATGGGAAATTTTTTGCAAAAGAAAGAAGCCATTTTAATGTATTTCTCATGATTATAACCAAAGGGCTTTCTTTTTTTTCTTTCCGTTATCTATTTGTTTATTTTAATTCTGTTAAAAATTTACAAACCTGTTTAAATGTCCTTAAAATAATTAAAAGCGATTTCAAAATTATTTTTTATTATATTTGACAAAAAAATATATATTAAACGTGCTTCCAAGAAGTGACAAAAAAGAATTAAACGTGTTTTCAAGAATCACTTGCATTTTGATTAAAAAATTAATATATTTTTTAAAGCATTTATGGGCAAATTTTTTTTAAAAGTATTTTTAAAAGGAAAACTAATGAAAATGACTTGAAAACTTTGAGTTTTAACGATAAAGGCAAAATAAAGAGTAAAGTAAAAAGTATCAAGTTTGACATTTTAGTGTAAAAATATGATTTTTCGTTAAAATAAACAGTATCACGGGCTTTTCGTTAAAACTCCAATTTTTTAACCAAGCTTATATTAGACCTGCGAAAATATATATATATATATATATATATATATATATATATATATATATATATATATATATATATATATTAGACCTGCGCACTTATGCTTATCGAAGATGATATTGACGTTGGTGCGTTCGCATGTGGTTGGTTTCAACTTTCTGGGCCATGAAAGTCTATTTCATATAAATTAAGGGTGGGGATGGTTTAGGTTGAGCGGCTCTACGAAATTACGTCTAGTTACAAGCATATATCCTGATTCGTTTGACTTTCTAGATTGGGACGGCTCTTAGATTTTAGGGGTCATGTAAGAAGATAATAAACAGACCATTATACAAATATTTTTGGTGCAAAACTAATTTATGTGTCTACAGTTGTATTAATAAAGGATCTAAATGAAGAATTATTACTTGAGTTATAGTTTAAATCAACAAGAAACATGAAACAAATAGATGAAAACAAAATTTAGAGCAAAGCCGGCATAATCTTACTAAAAACATAAAATGATTTCTCTTATGCATATGAAGGCAATATTTCTCTTATTCACATGCAGAATCTAGAAAAATTGATGAATTTTTTTTGCCACAAACCAAGTTGGTGCATATGTAAATGATACCATCTTTTAGGGGGCCTTTAGAATTGGGAGTCCTGTGCAAGAGCACCTATTGCACATGCCCAAAACGGCCACTATTCCCAAATAACCATGGGAAATTTTTTGTTAGATAGTTATGTATGTTACGTTCTACTATCAATCTGAATATTAGTCTGATAAGTTATTACTTAAACGTGTGGTTGAAATATTATAGTTCGATAACATTGCATACTCTAGACTATTTGACAAAATATTTTTTTTCTTGATTATCATATAAATGGGGCATGAGAAATTCGAACTTAAAACATCATTCAACATTATAAGAGAAATATCACAAAAGATCGTAGCATGATAAAGCCTAGGAAACCTTAAGTTATCACGGAATTTTAACTATCATTACCAAATATTTCAGCTGCATTCATTGCAAACTACTTTCTTTCACTTTAAATTGTACAGAATTAAAGAAACTAAAACAAAAAACACTGATTTAATTCCTCTCACAACTCCTTCTAGCTCATAACCTTTTCCACTTTGAAATGGCTTCAGTCTCGGAACTCGCTTACCAAAGACTGAGAAACGAAGGTCTCTTTGATGAAGAAACAGATCAGCAAAACACAGCAATTAAATTCAAGAAGATAAGGGGTTGGTCCAAGATCAGGAAGCTAACCGGAAGGCGGCCGAGGGTTCGGATTCAGGGATTGAGAAGGTTCCTGAGGAGAAAAGCTAGGGTTTTCAGTAGGATTAAAGTTTCGTGGAGCAAAGCTTTGAAGAGACTGAAGCATGGGCAGGCTCACATGAATGACTTGTTTGGTGGGAACTATTTGTTCATGCAGGCAAACCCTCTTCCTTTCAAATGCGGTGAGAGACCTCATAATATGGGTCATCGGTGTCATGGTAATTTCCCCTCAAGGTATCCTCTTGGAAAAATTGCTTGAGCATAATTCTACTCAGCAATATCAATCCCCTCCTCTGATAAGACGATATTATAAATTTCTATAAACTATGAAAAAGCAAAGGATTTGAACTCGGGTGTAACGGAGCGGATGCAATGTCCGAAGCAACTGAAGTAAACACATGTATTGTAGTATTGTCTGTGCTGATTTCATATGTTCATGGATGGTGTAAAGATGCTTAATTGTCTGCCGACATTTAAGTCATGAAAGTTCTACTGTTTTGCTTTTGATTTTTTTTTTTTTTTTTTTTTTTTGCATCACTTTATTTCGATGTCCTTATGCTTGACATTACATGCTAAGTCAGTTATAGGTTGCAACAAATAACTCTCTTTCCCTTCTTATACATTTTTCTCCTCATTTCTTTTGGTATGAATTGAAGATCCGAGTTTAAACATTTAAGTTAATCTTCATTAATTTAGATCTTAACACAGTGACGATGTAAGACAAAATAAAGATCCAAGGAGAGAAAATTGAAGAAAATAAAGCGATGTAAAATATGACATTGACTAGAAAGGAAGGAATTCACACTCGAACATCAAGTATGTTGTGAGAAATTGAAACTATGTGTATTGTTGCTACATTACGATATTATTTATGTCTGACAATCTTTATGTAAAACAATTGAAAAAAAAAGGGTAAAGTTATAGATATACAAATAATGATACCCGTAACATAGACGAAAAATCATATTCACTAAAATAAATCGAGTTCAAATAACGATATTATTTATGTCTGACAATCTTTATGTAAAACAATTGAAAAAAAAAGGGTAAAGTTATAGATATACAAATAATGATACCCATAACATAGACGAAAAATCATATTCACTAAAATAAATCGAGTTCAAATAAGAAATTTCATGCATGAAATTCTTAACATCCAAGTGAGTTCATGAGGCTCCACACAAGGTTAAAAAGACCGAAATACCCTTACGCTCTCTTTTTACCGGGAAAGAATAGAAAGAAAAGAACCGTTAAACCAAAGAACTTCGAAATTTCTGAGAAGTGAGATGAACACAGCAACGGTCGCCAAAAACCATGCCAACAACAAAGCAGACGGAGCCGCCTCTCTGCTAAAATCCTGCACATCGCTCCGCCACCTCAAACAAATCCACGCCCACATCGTCCGTTCAAACCTCCACGGGAACGCCTCCTTAGTCTCCACTCTCATCTCTCTCTACGCCTCTCTCTCCTCCTCGCCTCGTTATACCCACCTCGTCTTCACCTCTTTCCCCAACCCAAATCTATCCCTCTTCAACCACGCTGTCAGAGCTTTCTCTAAGATCTCCGTGCTCTGTTCCGAGGCGGTGAGTTTGTATTCGCAGATGGTCTCGGTTGGGATTAGACCCGATAACTATACGTACCCTTTCGTGCTTAATTCGTGCGCTGCGATGAGTGATCTCTGTGGTGGGATTGAAGTCCATGGACGCATTGTGAAAATGGGTTTTGGGTTTTGTGTTCCGGTTTCGAACGCTTTGATTGATATGTATGGGAAATGTGGGGAGGTGTTGAGGGCGCGGAAGGTGTTTGATGAAATGTATGAGAGAGATGTTGTTTCTTATAATGCGGTTTTGGGGGCTCATGCGAGAGGTGGGGTGGATATGGAGAGTGCTTTGGTTTTGTTTGAGGGGATGTTAGGAAAAAATGTGATATCTTGGAACGCCATGGTTGTAGGTTATGTAAATAGTGGGGATCTGGTTTCGGCAAGGGCTGTGTTTGATAGGATGCCTGAGAGGAATGCTGTTTCTTGGACTACAATGTTGGTGGGGTATACTAAAAGCGGTCTTATGGATAAGGCTAAGTGTCTCTTTGAAGAAATGCCTGAGCAAGGTTTGATTTGTTGGACGGCTATGATATCAGGGTATTCACAAAATGGGAGGTCAAGTGAAGCGCTTTCACTTTTCCGGAGAATGGAAAGGGCACGAGTAAAGCCAGATGCTTTCACCATGACAGCGGTGATCTCTGCATTGGCACAGTTGGGTCGTGCAGATCTGGCGAACTGGATTGGAACATATGTGGATAGAGAAGGCATAGAACAGAATGAACAAGTGCTTACTGCACTAGTTGACATGCATGCCAAATGTGGGAATATGGAAGAGGCATGCGCCATATTTGAGAAGATCCCCCAAAAAGATGTTTTTTCTTACAGTGCAATAATCACAGGTCTTGCTTCAAATGGTCATGGGGTTAAAGCGCTGGAGATCTTCCAGAGAATGCTGGCAGAAGATATTGAACCTGATCGGGTTACATTTGTTGGGGTATTCACGGCCTGTTGCCATGCAGGACTTGTTGAAGATGGAATGAGGTACTGGGAAAGCATGGTTAAAGATTACAACATTGAGCCTGATGCTGATCACTATACTTGCATAGTTGATATGCTGGGACGAGCTGGGAAACTCAATGAGGCCTGCGATTTGGTCAAGGGAATGCCTATGGGCCCACAGCCAGGAGCATTAGGAGCCCTTCTTGCTGCATGTAGAACATATGGAAATGTAGAGATTGCAGAAAGTGTTGCTGAGAAACTCTTCAGTTTAGAACCTGGGAATACTGGAAATTATATGCTACTTTCAAGCATTTATGCGTCGAAAGAACAATGGGATGAAGCTAGGAAAGTGCGGGAAGCAATGAACGGGAGAAATGCACTTAAGCTTCCTGGGTGCAGTTGGGTTGAAATTAGCAAAGGTCATGCAGCTCAAACGACAAACCAAACTTAGATAGCAATTCTATGGTCGAATTCTGGCATGCTGTTCTCATTGAATTGCATCATAATGCATAATTTATGTTGCTGGTGCCGCCACTAACAGACGTGAATTACGTTGTCAATACAATGGTGTTTCTTCTTAGGGTGTTGAAAACCAGGAAGTCACTTGAGGCCTTTGGTGAAACTTCTAAAATACCAAAACCGCTTACGAGTAAAAGTACTTTTACAGAAACACTCTCAAACGAAGCCGAAATCACTTACAAGGTCACAGACTAGCATTATGGGGCCCTATTCATGTTGTTTCTATTTCTTTTGAATAGATTGAGTTTTAAATTCAACCCACAATTTCATCACAAATTGGGCCTTGGGTTTTACAACTTTTGCTTCAACATCCCAAAGCCCATAAAACAAAACCTCCTCTCTCCTCTTTCTTCCCAATAACCCTTCTTTCCTTCAAACTCCTCTAGCACCTCTCCCTCCACCCTTATCCTCTCGCAACTCCTCCTAAAACCCTTTCACTCCCTCTCCTCTCCCACAGAAAATGGCTGTGGCTTCTTCTGCAACTTCCAATCTATTCAAGACCTTATCGATGGCGGATTCATGCGTCTCCCTCCCTTACCTTTCCGCTGCCAAAACCTCCAACCCATTTCTCTCAGTTCCCTCCAAACCCATCAAGCTCCACCTCTCCTACACCCCTTCCTCGCTCTTCTCGCTGCCGCTGTCCCTCGGAAGAAAAACCCACTTCTCCTCCGTCGCCGCCTTTGTGGCCCAGACCTCGGACTGGGGTCAGGAAGACAGCACGCTCACCATTGACGGCGCGGAGGGAAGTGAGGAAGAAGGGGTCTTTGAGGAGAGTGAGGAGGTGTCGAATGTCGATCCTCCGGAGGAGGCCAAGGTGTTTGTTGGAAATTTGCCTTTTGATGTTGATAGTCAGAAATTGGCTGAGCTCTTTGAGAGGGCTGGAATCGTCGAGGTTGCTGAGGTGAGGTTCTGAACTTCTTTGGATTTATTTTATAAATGTCTTTAGGTTTTGATGGTGTTCGGAAATTTGAGGTTTTTTTGGTTTGTGTTTTTGTTGTTCGTAGGTTATTTACAACAGGGACACTGATCAGAGTCGTGGGTTTGGATTTGTGACCATGAGCACCGTTGAGGAAGCTGATAAGGCTGTGGAACTGTTCAGTCGTTATGTAAGTCGCTTATAGATTTCGGTTTTCGAAGTTGGTTCTTCTAGTGATGTTGATTTCTATATTGTTATGGCATGAATGTGAAATGAAATAAGACTCGATATATTTCGAGAAAGATATAATCTTTTGATATGATGAAGTAAACTACAATGAAATGATGGATGAACATTGCCTATGTTTGTGGAGGGTAAGTGATAATGAATCGCTTTGGGGTGCAGGTTTAAGTAAAAAATTCAGTGTATTCGTGAGAAATTGGTCATACTTATGTCTATCCTGCAAGGTGATTCGTACATTGTTGATACGAATTTAGGTGTCCTTAGACCAACTCCAATGGGGAGTTGCCAATGCTAAAATTTGGCGCACAAAAGACAAATTTTAGGTTGCCAAACTGTTTTTCTCCCCCAACCCTGCAGTGCTAAAATTTAGCACCTTAGCTATTTTAAATGTCGAACAAGTAGTTTAGTCTCAATTTTTTTTCCCGCAAAATGCATAAACCGAAGCCATATGAAGTTGCCAATGTCTATGGCATTACATGTAGCCAAATCAGTTCTGTCATTCTCTTGGCAATTTCTCCCTTGGGTTGGTGTTAAAGCACCTCATACTCATAGAATAGTATTGTTCACTTGTTTTATGGTGAATCTATTTGAAACCGTCCAATATGTGCTTTCGTGTATGTCTTGAGAAGTGCTCAGTAGGTTTCCCGGATGTATAATACACTAAAGTATGGTGCTCATAGGTTCCAATCAATGTCTAGCTCGCATGTTCGACTTCTGGTGCTTATGAATAGAGTATTATTCAAGTGTATTGCTCTCAATGTTTCCATACTATTATATCAGTTTTTAATAAAAGGATTATATGGTATGTTTTAAGGGTTCTTTGCTTCTAATTTTTTGCGGTTTTATGCTTCGAACAGGATTTAAATGGAAGGCTCTTGACTGTCAACAGGGCTGCTCCAAGAGGAACACGCCAAGAACGCCCACCCCGTTCATTTGAATCTGCTTTTAGAATCTATGTCGGTAACCTGCCATGGAATGTGGATACTCCTCAACTGGAGCAGATTTTCAGTGAACATGGTAGCGTTGTGGAGGCTCGAGTAGTCTTTGACAGAGAAACTGGACGATCCCGTGGTTTTGGCTTTGTTACCATGGCCAGTGAAAGCGAAATGAATGATGCCATTGGTGCGCTCGATGGACAGGTATTAAGCGTTTACATTTTCCACCTTCATGTACAGTTTGTTTAGGTAATTCGGATGCATCATGCATGTAAAGATAAACCAAATTCGGAAGTTGTCATGACAGGAGTTAAGTTAATTACGGTTGGTATCGTTTGTTCGATTTTGCTTAGCGACGTAAATACCATCTTACTTGAGTTGGCTTGCGCTGCAGAGTATCGATGGCAGGGCGATCAGAGTAAATGTTGCGGAAGAAAGACAAAGGCGCAGTCCTTATTGACGCAGCCGGGATGAAACCTAAGTTCCGTTTTGGTTCCTTTTTCTTCAGATGAGTTATATGTTAGCCGGTTTTCAGCGATGGTTTTTTGTGGTTCCTACTTGTAGGATTATTGTTCGAGTCCGAAACGATACGTAGTGTCCAAGTTTTGACTCCATTAATTTTGGGGAACAGCTGTTGTGGTTACCATTTTGTTATGAAGCATGGAGCAATTGAAACGCATTATATTTTCATTTGTATTGCATGACACTGAAATCATTTCATCTCAAGAACTAAAGATCTTAAGCAAAACCGTCGCGACAGGTAAATATAGTACAAACAACAGGCAAAAGTTTATCTGTACACAGATCGTGGCTATGACGTTTAGGTGAAAACTATAGCACCTCAAGAACCTCGCAGCTGAGCATCTCGGCTTGTGAGAGGAACATACCGAACAGAAGTTCCAGTCCGGACGCTGATTGAACCATCCAAGCCCTTGTCCACAACCTTCAGATCCTGGAATATGTTTCCCACCGGAATCACCATTCTGCCTCCCGGCCTCAATTGGTCAACAAGTGGTTGCGGGATTTCTGGTGCAGCTGCGCCGACATGGATGGCATCATAAGGAGCAAATTCCGGCCAACCTTGCCGTCCATCTGCAAGAATAATTGTTGAATCAATAAAACATGTAGTTAACACTCCACACGAGTAAAATCATGTCTTAAGATGATGCATATTTTTCCCTTTTTCTGGAAAAAAAGACGCATTGCGAGTGGTAATACTCGATGCATCATGTGCATAGCAGCCAAACTTTGGCAACAAATTGGATGAAACGCTTGTGTTTTGTTTCCGGTGCATAAACACACTAGTAATCTACAGCTGAGCAATTTTTCTCGTTACAAATTGACAAGATGGAGTGAAGTTTTGTTTTTCGTTTTACTTGGTTTCAATTCCAATGGTGTGACCCTGGGTTTCAGAAACATACCACCGAGATGCACAGAAAGGGAACCTTCTTTCAATAATTTTCCGGCAGCACTTTTTTCAATATTCGTAATTGAAGAAGAAACCAACTCAGGAATGTGCTCTACACCAACTGCACGGCCTTGCGGCCCAACCATCAACCCAAAACACGCCGTCAAGTATCCCGTCCCTGCAAAACAAAATACATGAAAGGAAGTGTCAGGATCTCTATGACTGCCTTCAACATGAAGCATATCAATTGCAAACTATTCCGGTTTCCATGGCATTCAAACGTCAAAACGTGAATTTCATTTACGCGAATGTGTTATCTGCAAACACGTAATAGACAATCTTGCCTGAGCCAACATCCAAAGCACGCATTCCGGGTTGCAGATTCTCTTCCAACAACTGAAGGCACATTGCATGCATATGAGGTGCAGAAATGGTGGCATTATAACCTATTGACATGGGGGAATCAACATACGGCGGGGTCCCATTAGGCACGAACAAAGCTCTGTCAATAGTCTCCATCACTTCAGCAACCCTTTTGGATTTAATCACTCCATAACTCTTCAGATGATCCACCATCCCCTTGTTCCTATTAATGCTACTCCCGGAGCAGTGTCGCTGCAAATTAAACAAAACAAGTGCGAAAAGAAAAACCCGATTTCGGTGTTGTTTCCACTGTCAAAAGATTCAAAACTAAAAAAATGATTCAAATCAAACACGAACAAGAAGAACCCACATCGGAAATAGGTTGAAAATCCAAATCCTACCATCATTAATCAGATTGCAAACACAAACAAGCAACAAAGCGATTCGAATCGAAGACTAAAATGATCAAAAATCCACAATATTTGGGAATAAAAACTACAAGAATTAGATAATACCACGATTAAAAATCCATAAAAACCAGCTTATTACCAATAACAAATGAAATTTTGCTCTAATGGGTTGACAAAAAAGTATAAGAAACTAATCAATACAAACAAAAAGATTGATTTTTTATACGGTCATAAGCTGAAACGACAAAAACCCAGAAACTCAAATGCTCTGTTTACAGAGAAGGAGAGAGAGAGAGAGAGAGAGAGAGAGATACCTCCATTCCGCGGAAGGGGGCGTTACGGTTCCCCGTGAGGAAATTAGGGTTTTGGAGGAGGGGCCAGGAGGACAGAGCGGTGGTTGGAAGGAGTGCGAACGTGTGACGACGACTATGGCGATGAGAGAGAGCGGTGAAGGTTAAGCGGTGTTGCACAGTGTGGGCTGGATAGCGGGAACCATAAGCTAAGTGGCCTATACTTCTTGTTGCTCTTGCTGCTGCAGGGGATAAAAAAAGACTGCTTTTCATTTGCCACGCTCTCTCTCTCTCTCTCTCTCTCTCTCTCTAGCTCTCTAGCTCTTTCTTCTCTCTTCTTTCACCGCCAAGAATCCACTTTACACGTGTGTTCCGACCCTGCTTCTTCCAATAGAAATGATACTCTCCGGATCCCTTCCATCAAATTCACTCAATCATCTAATTCGGACTTTTGAAATTTGATTCAACTACTAAAATTTAAAGGATCCTTCTGTTTGTAGCAGTTAGATCAAATTTCAAGAGTCCGGATTAATTGATTGAGTGGATTTGGGGAAAGGGATCACCGACTTATGCCCCACAAACATTGGGTCAAGTTTGTTGGGCCATTTTGTTTGTTAGATTTTGGGCTGGATTTGTTAAAGCCCCAGATGTAGAAATGATTTGTTGGGCCAAAAGTTTGATATACTAGTCCAAGGAAAGCTTGATCCGAACTCGGATTCAGTGAAGCGCTAACCCGTTCGGAATCTCTTCAACCGGCAACGAGGCTTAACAAACAAACAAAGCAACTTGAGGTCAGGGTTAAATCTTGATCGAACGAAAATGCAAACCCCAAAAACCGTTACGGACGGGCAATACAACAGCGAAAATGCACTCGGCCCAACTTTAGTCGGGTCAAAAAATTGAGCTTGGGCCAGTTTGGTCCAGCCCAATTTTAATCATCCTCTATTGCAAGCCTAGCTAGTTTGGTTCTTGGGCCAACCCATATGCTAACCCAAGCCCATGTCTTTATATGGTGGTCCATGGTAGGCGGTGCCCAATTTTATTTCATGCTTTGGGGGATCAAACAAGCATGTATACTGTAGAGCACACGTGATTTGTGTGGTAAAGTTTTCCAATTACCAAATGCCAAGGTAGAATCTCTCTTTTTCTCTCGTCCATTTTGCTCCCTTGCACTGCATCCTACAATAGGAGAAGTGAATTAAGAAAAAAATTCAAGCATTTAGTCTAGCTTTTGTTCTTACTACCTTCTTACGTGTCGGTTTAAACCGTGATAAGAGGAATTTTAGAAGATGAGAGCAACTTATATGATACAGGTGCATCTTAATTATGTTGTACTGTACACAGTAGTATTGGTGAAATATCGATATTGATATAGGTTGTCTTCGATGGAAATGATGAAAACTTGTCCAAAAACATAAATCTAAAATGAAACTTTAAGGAATATCATATGGCGACACGTTAGGAATATCGACATATTTTAGCCAAAATTTAAGAGTTTCTTCGACATGTAGTGAAGTTTAGAGTTCACCCCCCTCCTCCTAGTATAGTCATAGGGGGTGTGCTATCCACACACCCCTTTTTACTTCTCACACACCCCTTGTTAATTTCTGTCCGTTGATCTTCTTCAATTCATCCAATCCGACGGCCGAAAATCAAAAATGTGTGAGAGAAGTAAAAAGGGGTGTGTGGATATTACACCCCTAGTCATAGTATCTCAGTCACCTCAACTGTCTGTGTCCCTTGCTTTTCTCTTTCATTCAGAAATGCCTCTTCACATAGTTCCTTTCTTCAAGACCGTACATAATTGGTTTGGGATGGAAGCTTACAGTTCACTGCCATATGCTTCACACAAGTATAAAAAAATAATAAAGTATGCAGAAAAGACTACCAATGGGAGCAGATTTTCCTGCAATTTATCTAATTAGAGTACAATTTCCCAAAAGAAAGAAAAGAAAAAGGGAGAAAAAGAAAAGAAGGTGAATTAATTGAGAATGCTAATGTTTACTTGGATGCTTGGCAAAAGTTTGATTTCCCAAGTTTATGGTTCTTTCTTAGGAATCAATCGACTAAGATTTGGAAATTAAATTAATTAAAGTTCGCTAATCGTTAATGTTAGCCCTAAAATGACTAAGGTATACGCATTGACATGACATATATTTACAAGAAACATTTCGAGTTTTGAGTCGAAGCAACGCTCCTGACCGTGACCTTCATACATATCAACAATTAACGATCGTCCATGCGTATTTGATGCAAAATTTAAATTTTTTCCTCCCTTGAAGTGGTTGACATGATTAAGGGCTGGTTTTGGTATTGCTGTGCTTTTGAAAAAAAGCTGCTGTGAGAATAAGCGGCTGTGCTGTGAGAATAAGCGGCTGTGAAATAAATCAGCAGAGTGTTTTGGTAAACTTTTTTGTAAAAGTGCTTTTGGAAAAAAAAGCAGTCTGATAGTGGGTCTTTTCATTAAAGGAGCACTGTAGTTCTGTGTGCTTTGAAAAAAAGCCAGTTTTCCAAAGCTACAAATGGCAGCTTCAGCTTTTTCCTTTGATTTCAGCTTATTCTCACAGCAGCTTCCAAAATAAGCCCTTTTTTTTTTAGTTTACCAAACACCAAAAACACTCCCAGCTTTTTTTCATAGGAGCTTTTTTTTTAAAATCACCTCAACCCCAAACTGGGGCTAAATCTATTCTCTCAATTTTAAAATGTCGCCTCTATGTGCTTATTTGGTGTTTTGGAGCACATCAGATTCATACGTATCAACGATTGACTATTGTCCATTCATATTTACTCGAGTTTGGATCTTTCATTTCTTGGAGTGGTCGACATTATTCACCTATTAGCTCTATTTTTCTAAATATACCTTTCGACAGAAAACCTCAGATTCAAGATAATGCAGCATATTTGCCTGTCTTTTAGACTCTAATTGCAAGCAAGGTACTTGTTCATAAGGCTTTAACTTTTATTCCATCATCTTCTTGTTATATAAAGGCTCAGTTTCTTGAAACCGTAAAGCCACTCGATCCCAAAGTTTTACACTCTCCCTTAAGCATTGTAATTCAAAGTTCTGAAAAATGGCAAGCCGCCAACATCAGCTGACAGCTCCGACGCAGATTCAGTATTCGAATCGGAGGGATAAAAGAACATCATCCTCATCACTATCTGATGATAGTTCATTGGTGAGGCAAATCCGGGACACTCATATTCCAGGAAGATCCGATC